CTCGGGGGCGGGGGAGAGGGGAAAGCGGGCGACGGGCATGGAGGAGGGCACCTGTTGGGATGAGCACTGGGTGTTGTATGGAAGCCAATTTGACAATAAACTATATTAAAAACCAACCAACCAACCAACCAACAGGTGGGGCTTACCCATGACGAAAAGAAAGCAACAGCCCGAAGAAAGGAGCCTTCGTCCCACGCAGAGGGGTGGTCGGGAGAACAGGTTGAACTTTAGATCTTCCCCACAAAAATTTCCCCCGCCGCTGTCGGGAGAGGCAGCGAGGGAGAGGGAGAAGGGGTGAATATTGAGGCATAAATCCTGGGGCAGCACCTTTCTCTTGTCCCTCTGTTAAAAAAAAAAAAATGTGTCGCCAGCACTGGCCAGGAAGTGCTTTCTCTCCCAGACCCTCCTGTGTCCGGTCTTTCCCCACCTGTTAACCCTCCTCCTCCCCTCCCCCATCTCCTCTCCCTCCTCCCTCCCCCTCTCCCTCCCCTCCCCCTCTGTCTCCTCTCCTTCGTCTTTCCCAGGAACGCTCCTGACTGGATATCAACTCAGCAATGCTACTTCCCAGCCGTGTGGCCTTGAACGGGCAGAAAATGCCTTTTTATGCTTCAGTTTCTCATTACAGTGAGGATTAAAAGAAGGAGAAGGAGCAGGAGGAGAAGGAGGGGGAGGGGGAGGAGAAGAGGAAGGAGCAGGAGAATTAAGGAAGGAAGGGAAGGAGGGAGGGAGGGAGGGAAAAAAGAAAAGGAGGCGAAAAGCTTTCGCATGCGATGTGATAGCTTGGATTTTATCCTGAAACAGAAAAGAAGACATTGGTGGAAAAACCGGGAACTCCCAATAAAGTCTGTCGTTTAGCTGATAATAACACACTGGGCGTTAATATCTCGGTTGCGACCAACACGTCTCGATACCGGAAGACGCTAGCGTTACGAGAAATTGAGTGAGGGCCAGGGGAACCCTGTCCTCTCTTTGCAACTTTTCTGTGAATCTTAAAATTACTCCAAGATAAAAATTGATCTAAAAAAAAAAGAAAACCAAAAAACAAAAAACAAAAGCAAAGTGCTCAGAATAACGTCTGGCCAAAGCAAGCGTTCAGTGAATCGTGACTATTATGTAACTGGGACCATCCAGTTGTTCATTAGCTCGGAGAGGGCATCCAACTATTTCGCACGTCTCAAAGAACCTTCTATGATGTCGGGCACCCGGGAGGGCTCCCCGTGGCAACTCGCCTTTCGGCCTTTCTCAGTTCCCACCCCTGGCCTCCACTTTCTTGTTACCAAGATTCTGAGCGTGCATTACCTTATTTTCAGACCGTATCGAAGCTCCATATTGCAAGTTGGTTGACGATTCTTTGGAAGTAGGCGGGCTATCAATAAGTAATGAAGACATTCATCAATAAGTTACTCTGTTTTTCACCCGCACTGCACACGGAAGCTGAACCTCTCTGATTATGGGGTCTTGGGAAGAGCGCGGGTTTGGCCAGAGAAAAGCCGGGTCTGTGAGTCTCAGCTCCACTCCTACGGACCGTGTGCGGGCAACTGGGTGAACTGGGAGCAGCCCCCACCTTCCCAGAGCGCTCCGAGGTTTCCTCACGCTAATGCTCATGCAAGCCCTTGGCAAGGCCCATATCCCTACCGCTGTCTCCCCCTGCAGCCGAGACTCGGGGAGATAGTGTCCACCTACAGGGAAATCCGGGCCTGGGACCAGAACCTGCCCAGTGGGACTCACGTCTCCTGGCCAACCGCTTCTCGCAGTCACCTGTGGTCCCCCAGCCCCACGTGGGACGGGCTAGTCCGGCTGCCTGACAGGGCTCCGGGCATTCACCCAGGAGGTGGGCCTGAGGCCGGCCGGCCGCCAGGGCCTCACTCCTCCCAGGTCTACTGCTCAGGCCCGGCCAGCCCCTGTGCACTGCTCTATGGCTTCACAGAACCTTAGAGAAAGGGTATCATGGCACCTCCGATTCCCTAGCAGAGGGATGCTGCCTCCAGATAACCATGGGTGGGGAAGGAGTGACGTGTGCACGATTTATCCCTGGTCATCTCCGGGGCTGGGGGACGAAGGAGGTGATCTTGAACCACGAGGGGTGGGGCTGGGGGGTGGGGGTGCAGAGCGGTAGGGGAGAGGGGCCACCTCTGATTCCTTTGAGGCTGGAGGACTCAGTCCCTAACTCCCTGGCACTCAGCCTCGAGGCAGGCTAGCAAGGGAACAGCGGAGGCCAGGAGTCCCTGCATCTGAGGGCCCTGACGCTGAGTCCTCCCAGGATTCTGCGCTCCTGTGGGGCCCTCCCCCAACCAGGAGGCCCCTTGCCCTGCTGATGAGGAAGGGCCGCTCTTGCTGAGGAGTCCTGAGGCAGAGAGGGCTGTGAAAGAGGGCATGCAGTTGGCAGCTGAAAGGGTGCGGGTCCCCGGATGGTGCCTCCTGGGAAGCCATTCCGACTAGGGGCTCAGCGGTGTGGCACCTGCCTGCCCCGGGCTGAGCCAGGCAGGCCCCCGATGGTACCGGGCAAGTGGGAACATCCCAGAGAAACTGTGACACATAAACCGCAGAGAGGACCCTGAGAAACCCCCACGGGTCCCCTGGGGCGGCGGTGGGGGGATGGGGGGACGGCATTCAGCTCTTCTCCAAGAATCTGGCCTCTGCTCTCTAACGTTTTTCTCTCTAGAAGACAGAGAGAACAGGCTTACTTTTTGTTTGTTTGTTTGTTTCCAGCCTGTTTGACAAACAGAGAAACTGAGGCCCAGACAACTAAGTAATGGCCCGTCAGGAAAGAGCTGGAGGGGACACAGAGGCCTCGCCACCCCAGAGCGGGCTTCTCCTACTGAGCGCTGAGACCCAGCACTCTGCCCTCGCCCCAGGGCTCCGTCTAGAAGTCTCTGTTGGCGCGGAGTAGCCAAGAATTTGGCTGTGGGTCCACTCTTGTGAATGCTTGGTTTGTACACCCTCAGCTTTATCCCAGAGCCTCGGGCTTCTGGAAAGGGTGGGGCTGGGGGAATTTCAGGACCTCGACCTGGAAGGAATTCCGGGAGACCGGGCTGCCTCTCGCTCCACCGGCCGCTGGAGAAGGCCTGCCTGAGCCACAGACTTGCTCGGAGATCACAGTGAGGATCCCCTGAGCCACCCGTCCGTCCCTTCTTCTCTCTCTCCCCCCTCACACCCATGGCGCCTGCACGGGCGGGACAGCCAGATTCCTCAACATGGAAGTCACAGCCCATTTCACTTCTGGTAAATGGCATTTTCATAGGGTCACAGAATGCAAACACTTGAAAGGATCTTATTGATGGGTATGACCAACTCCCTCTTTTAATAGATGAGGAAGATGAAGGCAGAGAGGGAGGGTGGCTCCCCCCCGGGGGTGGCCAGTGAGTCAGTGTAGGCAGGGCCTGGGCTAGAACCCCAGGCCGGCTCTCCCGGACCCTGCGGCTCTGTCTGACCTCCCTTCCCACTTTCCACTCCAAATCCCCAGTGCTCTCGCCAGAAAGGACTACAGGAAGACTGTGATCAGGTCAGGGCAAGAGTTGGGGACAAACCCGAATGCCTCAGTGGCGGGGAGGGGGAGGGGGGCCCGCAACGTCGTCGTGTCAGAAGAGGAGAGCCAGGACCTGGGTGGGGGGAGAGGGTGACTGCCACACCGATCATCGTCCCGCAGGCCGAGGATTTCTGCACCTTCTGGTTTTTTAAAAGCATCTATAAAATACAGTTTTTAATGTAAAATAGTCCAACACTTAACTATAGAAACAATCCAAGGTTAAAAATAAAACACCCGGGACTAACTTATGACCGGCAGTAGAATTCAACTGCATCATGTTTTGATAGATAGATGAGGAATCTGAGGCACAGAGCGGTGGCCCTCCGGAGACCACGCAGGGACCACTGGCCAGTGTGGCTGAGTCATTTGTGGGGAATCCCCCATGCGGGTCGTGGCCACACCGTTGACAAGATGGCATCCCCCGAGAGCGCACTGCCAGTATCTGGACCCCAGCCCCGACTCCTCCGTCTGTAGGTGATTGGCCTTGAAGGGCCTAACCCTTGGCCTTTTGTGAAGTGCTCCCTATGGTCCACATTCCCCAAATCTCTCTGAGCGTTCCGTGTTTTTTTCCTGGACATGTCCCTTTAAGACTCCAAAGTGGGCCAGAACATTCTGCGACCCTGCCGGAGGCTGGGAAGGACTGCAGACTCCCTTCCCTGTGCCAAGCCCTTCCCACATACCATTCCCCTTGCCTCTGGACATTCTGCCCTTCGCGGTCCAGCTCAAAACAGCACAGCTGACACTCCAGAAAAATCTCATAAAGCCGAATTAGGAGCATGTCAGCAAAAGGGGAAAATGAGATCATAGCCAGCCTGCCACCTTCCCTGGCCGGCTAGATCCACCGGCGGGCCGTCAGTCCTCATGCCCTCCCTGACCCCTCCTGCGTGTCCAGCCCTGTGCCCAAGACAAGGGGCCCGGGGCAGTTAAGTGAGGAGGTGACACACAGCCTCGTAAAACCATAGGAGAAAGTCAAGTGCAGAGATGAGCACAGAGGATAATAAGGGTTTGGTGAGCTGCAAGGAAGGGGTGGCCAGAATAAACAACGGCTCCGCCGAGAAAACGGGTCTGGAGTTTTCTCGAAGACAAGACGGCATCGGTGTGGAGAGCTAGCGAGGAGGGGAGAGAGCATTCAAGCGTCAGGCAGGCGGCGACATCGCCAGGGGCGGGACATGTTGGGGCAGAGTGGAGGCTCGGCGGCAGCCCTGCTGTCCAAGCTCTTGGGCGAGGCCCCTCACTGATCTGAGCTCTGCTTCCTCACCCGCAGGCGGGGAATTGGGCCAGATGAGCCCCAAGTCTTCTGCCTCCTTGAGCAGGAGATCTGCTCTTGCTTCTCTCAGCACCCAGCTTACACCCAACATACGCACTCCTTGAAAGAACAGGTGAGCGAGTGGTGTAGCACAGACACCAAGCCGGTGAGAAAACTAGGAGAACCGACCCCCAAATAAGCCCGTTTCGCATGTTCGGTGTTTCAAGGCACTTCCCCATCTGCCTCTCAAGGCACTGCCCCCACTGGAGGCAGACAGTGGGTTTCATCAATCCCGTCCGACAAGTAGGGAAACTGAGGCATGAAGCGTGTTAGGAGGGATCCGAGGCTTACCTGAATGGTGACCTTGGACAGAAACGGAAACCACGGCCCCGCCCTTCCTGGTGCCGCCTCCTGGGGACCTGCCTGCCTGCGGGGAGGGTGCCTTCGGGTCTGCTGCTGCGAGGGGGTCTGTGGTCAACCATTGGGTCTGCACCTGGGTGGGAAAGTCTGCCCGCAGACCCGAGCACCATCTGCAGGTGCAGCACTTACCAGAATAAAGCCGCCATTTTGGTTTCTATCTGAGTGGCCCTGCAGGGATCCCTCGATATGTTCTGAACCCCAGGAGGGGGAGAGGAGTGTTGTCTCTGCAAAACCCCAACAGGGGGCGTGAAGCAACTCGTTCAGAGAATCCCAGACTTTACCTGGGGGGGGGGGTCCCCTGATATTCAGCCTCCTACCCTTTCCGGCCCGATGAACACTGCCAGAGAGGAACAGGGGGCGCGGGAGAGGCACCCTGGTGGGTCAGGTGTGGGCAAGTCTTGCTGGAGACACCCACCTGTCTTCTGGGAGGGGGCACGGTGGGGGGGTGGGGGTGGGGGAGACAAAAGCCTGAGTCTCTGCATCTTTCAAACGGGGATAGTCTGCTGATCGCGTGATGTTGATGTGAGCAGATCCTTCCTGTCGGGCAAAGTCACTACACAGGTATACAAACCTGTACCCAAAAAGGTGTATGCGATGAGGGATTTACCGAGAAAAGGTTAATGGAGAAGTAACCTTTCATTTGACCCAAGGATTCTCCGAGTTGCAAAATGACCCACTGGGTTTCTTTAAGTTGCAACCCCCTGCTGGCCCCTCTCCTCTAGGCTAATTTAAAATAGGGGACAGGGGCACCTGGGGGGCTCAGTCAGTTAAGCATCAGACTCTTGGTTTCGGCTCAGGTCACGATCTCACAGTCTGTGAGTTCGAGCCCCCGTCAGTCTCTGCGTTGGCGGTGAGGAGCCTGCTTGGAATTCTCCCACTCCCTCTCTGCCCCTCCCCTGGTCTCGCGCACGCTCACACATACACGAGTGCTCTCTCAAAACCAATAAGGAAACATTTAAAAATAAATAAGTAAAGGGGCGCCTGGGTGGCGCAGTCGGTTAAGCGTCTGACTTCAGCTCAGGTCATGATCTCGCGGTTCGTGGGTTCGAACCCCACGTTGGGCTCTGTGCTGACAAGCTCAGAGGCTGGAGCCTGCTTCGGAGTCTGTGTCTCCCTCTCTTTCTGCCCCTCTCCTGCTCACACCCTGTCTCTCTCCCTCCTTCAAAAACGAAAC